CAACATGGATGAAACTTGAGGACATACGCTAAGTGGAATAAGCCAGAAACCAAAAGACAAATACAGTATGACTCTATTTATGTGAGGTCCTTAGAGCAGTCAGAGTCACAGAGGCAGAAAGTAGAATGCGGGGTGCCGGGGCTGGGGGGTGAGAAGTTATGTTTCATGCACACAGAGCTTCAGTTTGGGGCGACGGAAGAGCTCTGGAGATGGGTGGTGGTGACGGTTGCACAACAGTGTGACTGTGCTTAATGCCACTGAGCGGTCCAACTCATAATGGCCAACATGGCAAATTTTATGTTATGTATATTTTACCACAATCTTTAAGAAAAAGTTGTAACTATTCCCAAGGAAGAAACAAAGTGGCCTTTATTTATGATTGTCCATAAACGCTGCTGTCCTGAATCCAGTACTTCCTACCAAGCACAGGGTTTTTTATTACCTAGGGTTTGTGAGTGGGGATGTGTTTCAGACTTACGTGCAATATTGTGAATAATTTTTCTGAGCAAAAGAAAGGCTTTCCATACACTGCAGAGGAGTCTGTGACCAAAAGAAGGATGACAGCCACTCTGAGTGGCTGCCCCCAGCGGCTCCCCAGCCCCTGCTGTCTCGCAGGCATTCTGCAGGCTGTGCCCAACTCTCCCCGTCAGGACGGGCTGCGGTCTCTCAGTCACCTCCCCATCTCCTCCGTCCCTCTCCCACCCCAACACACCCTCTTCTTTCTTTAACTCAGGTTGTTTAGATGCAATGCAAAGTATCTTCCTAAATCTTGAATTTGTTGAACAAGGTTTTTTAATTTTTAGATGAGTGTTGCTCTGAAATCAGCCAAACCGTATTGCCCTTCATTTCTGGGGTGATAATATCACACGGGTCCAGCTCTAGCTGAGGGCCTGGAGCCCGGAAGGTCCTCAAGCCACATTCTGTAACTAAACCATTTTCCACTAGACTTTCTGGCTGATCTGATATTTTGCAGTTAGACTGCACTTTAACCAACTGAACTCCCCCTGCTCCGTCCCAAGGTCTGCCTGGGTGGTAGGGAGCATTCTTGGGATAATCATGGACAGGTGCCTCTCCAAGGAGGTTTCTACTACAAAACATCGAGGCACGAGAAATGGCGCCGGCTGAATTTTCACCCGAATGAGTTCTGAGACCTTTCTTTTTCACAAAATGCTTTTATTTCTATTTTTAAATGAGATGCATTGTTAGATACTTGCATGAAATATCAAAAGGCATTTATAGTCTCTGTTTTAACTCTTCCTTTCTGGTCACACAAAGTGGATAGAAATAAAGCAAAACAGAAACCAAACAGTGCAAGGCGCTGTGAGATTCGTGAAGAGAATCACTACCAGCCTCCTGCACACTGCGCGGCAAGTCACGGCTAGTAGTCGTCGTAGTTGACGCTGGCTCCATGCCTAAAGCTGTAGGGGCTCCGGGGACCGATGGCCGAGTCCTCATCATAGTCACGCTGGTAGTGATCGCCGTAGTCGTGTCCATTTCGATCTCTGTTTTGCCAATAGGTGATGTCATCTTCAAATTTCTGGGGGAAAACAGAACGATAGAGAATGGATTTAA